TTAATTGGTTTTCAGAGAAAAAAGTATATTTTTGCTAAAAATGTATGCAACAGCCCCAACGAGAGGCATCACGGATGGCTTCTTCAGTGGTGTGCTGTAAATGTTTAACAACTGGATCTGTGGGGAAAAAAAAATGTTGACTTATTTGCCAGTTTTCATCGTGAACATAATCCAACTGTGGTCAATTTCAAAGATATCTCATTGAGCATGAAGTGAGAAGAGTTTCATTCAGTTGTCTTCGCAAGCTAGTGTGAAGCAGCCCTAGCACATCACTGTTTTTATTTGAAGATGTTTCTTCACTTATTAAAAATAGATGTAAAAGGTCTAATTGCATCTTTGAAATGTATGACTCCAAACTATATGCTCCTTTTATAACAGTTATTCAGTCAGAATTTTCACTTTATTTTCAAAGCAGCTCCGTGGTAAAGCATGTGAGATCTGAAAATAGAGTGTAAGAGTTCAAAACCTGACTGCTGCACATTCTAGCTGTATGATTGTGGGTATATTATGTCAGGTCTCTTTATATCAGTTTCTTTATCTTCAAAGTAGAGATATGACAAAGTTGGCATGAAAATTAAATCATTGCTAAAGGAAATGTACTTAGAGTAGTACCTAGTACATTGTGAATGCTCAGTTAAGGTTAGTTCTATTTTTCAAATATTTATTGCTGGCTTAGTAACAGTCAAGAGAAGAGATAACATAAGAAAAGTATGTCAATGTGAAAAACAGTGAACTGTAGAGAATTTTTATGAGTTTATTTGAGCCGAACTGATGATATATGCTGGGGAGCAAGATCTCAAATGCCTCGGAGAATAACGGTTTTGCGCTTCTTTTATGCATTTGAGATTAAGGAGGGAACTAGGGAAGATTACATGAGGGTGAGAGAAAGCAAAGTAGAATTGAATTACAGGATAGTTAATGAGATCATGTGCTCTCTTTAAACTTAATACACCCATTGAGGGGTATTCTGGTACTTCAAAGGTGTGTTAACCTAGATGTACAAGAACAAGGACAGGGCTGGCTTAAAACCTTTCACTAAAGAAGTTATATGCCCGGGGCATGACTACCCACTATGATCTACCCAGTTAGGAATTTATGATCAGATCACACTGTTTGGATACTTTCCACATGACCCTCTCCTCCCACTTTTGTTTAATCCACTATTAAAATGGATATTGATGCAAGGAAAATTATACCACAAAGGGAAGGTAAAATACTTTCAGTTACAGAAGTTTATCTTCTTAAGAGGGTTTAGGTAAAGCTTATTATATTTAATATTCTAGAAAAGTTATTTTCTATGTTTTTCCCTTCTGGAGCATAAATTTGTCACAGTCTCTCTTATCATGTCCTGTTTTGGGGGCTGACAATGGTGTTAGATACTCTAGATCACCATCAGTTATGTCTTCTTATAAATACTCATGAGTTTCAAGTAGAACTTAAAAACTTGTCTTAAGACATTATACTAAAAGGCTTTTATAATTTAATTTTCTTTTTTTCTGGGTGAATAATTAGTCTCTCTTTCTGCCCCTCAATCTTGATCATGAACAAATACAACAGACTCAAGTCACTCTGATAATTCTACTATCACAGTTTCCCCTACAAATACAGCCACTCTTCTAAGAAGATGCTTTCATTTTGGACAATGAACACCCATTGAGAACTCTGACGTTAAGTAATGTAGCTGATTCAAAGATAAATAAGATGCACGTGTTACCTTAATTAGCTTATAAATAAGTAAGGGAGACAGATATCTATGCAAATAAAAAAAAGGAATAAACACAAGGACAGGAGGAAGAAAATGATGGACCTAGGTTACCTGGAGAAATAGCCAGCTTCCACAATTCTAAATTGGAAGTTATGTTTCCTTTAAATCTCACTATTAACTTGTTTGCTAAGAATGACTTCTCTGAAAACTAGGATGGTGGTGAGCTTAGCTAGAGGGAGGATTATTTTAAAGTAAGACCTCAATGATATGACCAATGCATTTTAGAAATTCTTGTTGATGATAAACAGGATAACTACTGCACCACACCTAGACTGCCTATTGCCTTCTCCCTTGCCATCACTCTCTCTCCTGAAATTTCTGATTACTTTGCAGACTCTTAGCAAATTTGCTTCCTTTATGCATCATTCAGATACTGATTCATACAAGGCAAAACATGTAGTAGATCTCTCAAAATATATTTTTGATGAATGCATTGAGGATGAATCCTTAATTGACAACATACTAATTTTGCTAAGAAAATTAGTAATTTCTTTAGAAAGATTCTCTGAGATTGAATTAAATGATGACCTTGAGCCATGAGGAGTTAAAAGAGAAAAGCAGCAGCTAACTTGATGCTTTCTCTAGGTAATAACCGGAAGTAAAAGGTAATTCAAATAGTCAAGAAGTTTGCGCACAACACTGGCTTTTGAATTGATTTTAGAAACTACATATCCTTAGGGTGTTTAGGATTAGTAGATGTTCCACATGAGTTCATACTCTATGGAGAAAAACTAAATTATTTGACTGCAGGAATTTTAGGCCGCAGGTCCCAGGGAACTGAAGGCGTAATACTTTAAAGTCAGAATCCATGTAGGTAGAAGATGGAGGGAAGCTATCCTAATCTCCTATCCTGAAGGACAAGGTGTGGATGTGCTGGTGAATATGTAGAGTACCTGGCACACAGAAGACCCTAACAAATATTAGTTTTTTTTCTCCCATGGAACAGTAAGGAAAGACTGAATTACCGAAAGTAATTTCTGAATAGGGTAGAATATTTAGAGGCAGTTAATATTGACATTCTCTCTTATTTGATTTTTATGTTATAACTGAAATTTATGGGGACACAACTGAGCTATATATGCAACTTAAGGTTTCATTGTAAAAGTGCTTATCCATTTATTTATTTTTTGATGTTGTTTAATTCACTTTTAAACAAATAGTGATAAAGTTACTATGACTCAGTAGCCTTTGAGAAAAAATAAGAATAAAATGTTGAACCTTCAGAACAATCACCAAATGGTTCATTGACTTTGTTTTACTATGGAAAAATCGCTTAACCTCCCAGTGTCAGTTTACCCATCTGTGAAATGAGAAGGATAATATTTTCTTATGGGGATGTTTTGAAATTATTTTGTAAATGTAGTGGATAAAATTGTTGCAAGCATCACTGCTTTTGTTTCCACTTCTTTAAAGAAGCAGACAGTATTATTTATGTACTAGTTGATAGTCAAATTGTCATCTGGGATGAACTATGTATATTTATTATCAGTTATGTGCTATTTATTACTTAAAGAATCTCCTCTTCCACAGATCACTTATTTACGTATTAGGTCTATACCTGGGAACTCAAGCAAAGTATCTTAAAATTATTCTGAGCTTCATATTTATGAGCTACTAATTTTATATCTCTGGTAATTATTTCTTCTTTCTGTTTTAGCTCATGTTTTCTCTAACGTGGTTTTTCACCTCACCTCGCTTCACAAGATTGATAGCTCTCCGTATTTTCCTGCTAGAGGTCACCTCTGAGCTGAAGGCAAAACACATCTCACTCTGGCTCCTGTTTACTTTCCATTCTACTGTCAAAGAATTTATTCTAGACACCTCCTAACCTCAATTTAAAAACTCCACCCTAAAGATTACAGGGAGATAATTCAGGAGTTGCCATAGTGACTCTACGAGTTTGGCATTGAGGAGACAAAGCTACTGATATCAGATTTTTATATTTGATAGGCTTAATTATATAACATGGTCATAAACTTCTGTGCCTATCATTTAGGTCTGGAAAGAAAATTTCTCCTTCAGGCTCTTCTCTCTCTTATTGTGCCAATCAACAGGCTTCTTGGTTAATGAGATTCTTCATGCGGATAGCTCCAGAGTAACCTCAAGTGGTGCTTGTAGTAATGATAAGATCATTACAAAACTAAAGAAAAAAGGGAAAATACATTTCATGGGTGTGATTAAGTCATCATAATATTCTTGTATATGTAAATTATTCTTGACTTAATGAACTACCTTACTCACATAAGAGTATTTTAACCTGGCTCTAAAAGTAATTTTTACCCATGTTAATAACTGTTACCAGATTTGACAGAGCTCATCTTCAGATCATCTAGTTGAGGTGAAATTTATGTATTATGTTTCCATGTGCATGAATTTTGTTTTAACTATTAGAAATACTCTTATTAAGTACACTTATTACCAAATAAGTTTATACTTAGGAAGATAGAAAACAATTATATTCTAATGATATCCAGAATGACAAAGGTCATTAAAAAGTGTGTTTTTTCTTGATTACAAAAGAATACATATATATTAAGTGGAGAAAATCATAAAAGTATAAAAAGGAACAAAGAAGAATATTATCTCTATTTCCTAGGTATGAGTAATCACTTTAAGATTTTTATGAAAAATCTACAAGATGAACACTTTTTGAAGAATATTTACATTGTTTTCTCTCACAAATTTTGTACTTTTAAAAATAGCTACGCCAACAAGAAACCCTGGTGAAATAAGATTTTTTTAAATTAATTTTATCAGAAATTGAATCTAACGTGCTAGTATCCATATTTTATAGACTTTATTCAAGGTTATAAAAGCTACCAAGGAAGTATTTAATGTGTTTTCTCTGCTGCTTTAAAGAATATGATCCATCCAAAATTATTTCAGTGCCTTATTTTCAAAGATGACCAGGGTTAGCACCATATAATCGATGCAAATCCAAGAGCAATTACTAATAATCAAGTTACTATTTAAATATAAATCTTTATGTGTAACTAGAAGAAAAAGGTTTTCTGGAATATGTAAAGAAACATAAAGAGTTCTAATTGTATTTCAAAATTGTTGTCTTCTGATTAAGGATTTTTAATATTTTTCTGTTTTTTTTGTAGTATGTAGTTTTGTTGTTTTGTTGGTTTACATTTTATTTGGAGTGAGAAGTTAAGTACAAATTAGTTCTTGGAAAGTTAATAATTTTATAACCTTCAGTTAATCAACATTTTCTTTAATCCCCTTTTAGGCAGCCAAGGGCAGTTTCCACTAACACAAAATGTAACAGTTGTTGAAGGAGGAACTGCAATTTTGACCTGCAGGGTTGATCAAAATGATAACACCTCCCTCCAGTGGTCAAATCCAGCTCAACAGACTCTGTACTTTGATGACAAGAAAGGTGAATACATTTTCTTTTAAATGTTTTAATCATATTCTGAAATATCCTAATTATAATGAATTTATTTTTCTGAGATGATTCAAATTATTCCTTTTGATTACCAAACTGCTGCCGCTTGTATTTAAACATGTTAAATATTAAATACTTTAGTTTGCAAGTCATAAACACTAAAGATAACCTATGTCAACTTTTTAATAAAATAAACAGTTCTAATTTGTTTCAAAAATAGCTTTATTCCTCTCTTAACAATCACTTCCTATCCAGACACCATATTCTTTTATACTTGTGGCTGTCTTGTGTATAGACTGAATATTTATTTTTATATCGTCAGTGTGTTTCAGGGATGCTATATCATTTGGAAAGTTTCATGATTTATTCTCATGCATTGGGTTTGAAAGAATTGCAAAATAATTCCATAATAAGTAACTTTATGATTCCAAAAAAATGAAATTAAGTAAGGATCTGTATTTACTTCAAACTGAGTTGGACTTCATTAATTGTAAAGCCCTACTGGGCTTTACAATTGGATGATAGATTTTGATTAAACTTTTTTAAAGAAGTAAGGAAATTCATATTATATGATTCAAACAAACAACTAAAAATTTACTCTGAATTTCTAAGCCTTTATCCATTGTTATAAGCTTGGGGATTAAATGAGTTCATAAACTGTAATGAAAATATAGAGCTGTTACTTAAGATAAAATTAAGTTATTTAGAATATAAACACCTATTTATATATTGGCTGTTCAACATGGTCTTATGAATTTCTTGTGAATTTGTGTAGGTAACAGTAAGATAATTTAAAATCAGCTCCATTTTAATAATTGAAGTATAGTCAAATTAGTCTAGCAAATGTGCCCATTCCACCTAAAATATGAATTCATTATATTTTATGCATTGCTGTAGTCTTCTCTTTTTGATGTAAGGGAATCCTTTATACTCTCTGACATGTTTCAGTAAATCTTCTTTTACTCCTAGGTACACATAGGAATTTATATTCAAATAGTAAAATAATAATTATTAATTTCATTCTAGATTTAAGATAAAACTTTTAGCTTATTTTAAACTTTAATATATAATAAAGAGTGATTTAAAATTCATTTATTCGACAAATATATTTTGAGAGTTTCTTTGTACAAGGCATGAGAGTTGGAGAACAGAGCATACGATCTAGTAGGGGTGACAGACAATAAATGAACACATTAATAAAATATATTTTAGAGTACATTGGTCAAGACAAAATGTTCTCTATAGCTAGAATTTTTTTTCTCTAAATAGAAAGATAGATGATACATAGATATCCACACAGAGAGAAATCGATTTTAAGAAATTAGCTCACATGATTTTGGAGGGTCAAGTTTGATATCTGCAGGGCAGGCCAGAAAACTAGAGACTCAAGAAAGAGTTGCTATTGCCACTCATGTCTGAAGGCAGTCTGGATGTAGACTCTCTTCTTAAGAATCACTTCATTGTTTTTCTCTTAAGGCCTTCAACTGATTGAACAAGGCCCACCCACATAATGCAGATAATCTACTTTACTAAAAGTCTACTGATTAAAATGTAAATCTCATCTAAAAATACCTTTACAGCGATGTCCAAGCTGCTGTTTGTTGAGATATATGGGTACTGTGGCCTAATGTCATACAATTACCTATCACAGAGGTTTAGTTAGGAATGCTAGTATTTCTGCAGAACTTTATTATTTAGAAAAAGCTTTTATTTATACTGTTTTATTTTGCTATCTGGGAAACAAGTAGGAAAGATACCACTACTGGCCATATTCTCATAGAAATATTCGAAAGGAAAGGCTTAAAATTCTAATAATTGCCTAAGACTAAAGTCATAATTGTGACTTAAACATTGTGACTTCATTATTAGCAAGACTTAAAACCAATATTGTGACTCCGTATTTATGTTTTAATTAGAGTATTTGATATGTAATTCTTGTTTAACAGAGAGTCCCAGTCATAAATATTTTTGTTCTTGTTGTACTTTAGAAATATTTTAAAGAATTGAAAATAAATTTTAAAACATTCATCCGATAAACACTCACTATAGCAGTATTAATGTAATTTTAATCCTTAGTAATATTATTGATTATTATATACTTCTGATTAAGACCTTTCTTTTATCCCACTGTAGAAAATTTTAAACATATTTTATGAGACTATAAAGTATTCTTTTCAGTTTGAGGAATAACTTAAGAATATCTAATGTGAGATTTTTAAGCCTTTGTAAAGAAAGATATTATTCATGTGTAAAAAGTTGATTTTATGACTTAATTAACTGAATTAAAAATCACATATATAACCCGCATAAACCAGCTTATATTTTAGGCAAATTCAATGGCAATGAAAGTTGTATAAAAAGCTTGAAGATTTCTTTTGATCTCGTTGGTCTCTAGGAAAAATATATATTTTATTGTGCTAATATTATGTAAGCTTTATATTTTGATCTTAAATTTATTAGTGCTTTGGGGAAGTGAAGGCACATCTCTTTAAAAAAAATATGCTAGTGTTTACTTTGTTTTGATCCTTCATGGTGTTTGGAGGAGTTTGTTGCTGTTGTTTTAAATCAAGTGATTTAAGTTGCTTTTCAAACAATAAAATTTTATGAGTTAAAAAATTAAACATATAAGCAAAAAGGTACACTGGGATTTAATAACCTCTTTTAGCTTCTAGTATTAATTGATTACAAGTATTTGTAAATAAATATTTAAAACATATATCCTCAAATATAAGGTAACATCAATTTTAAGGAAATCTCTCATTTGCCCAATGATATAAAGCAAAATAAAATGTTTTTAGGGACAACAGACTTTTAAAGATGTTCATGGAACGCTTAAATATATAGTTATGCTATTTAATCTATAAATTTGATTATATGTAAATATTTAAACTAATGTAAAAATATATTACTTTAGAAATATTGCTTTTTCCACTCTTGCATTTAATGGAATAATCTTACTTAGCAGCAATTTTTCTGAAAGTGTAGATACTATCAATGACAAATTTGTCTCAAACAATAACTATACATTTTTATAACATTAGAACCTTTTTTGTTCATTCATCCTGCAGAAGTTTAATAATGATTTCTGCTATATAACAACTTATTGTACTGCTTTTTAAAGAGATCTTTGGGAGTCATGTTTACAGTGAAATCTACATCTGTGAGGTCAAATCCTCAGGCACAAAAACAAAATCTATACCAAATGTCTTTGCCTCCTTTTTGAGTGATTCTATAAGTTATCATCGAAAGAACATCTAAAACTAGAATTGATTCAGGTTATTTCAGGTTAATGCGTCTTTCCTGTTGAAAATAGAAGAACTTGTAGAGCAAGATTTGCAAAGACTTGGGAAATAAAGCAACTCTTCTCTTCTGAGGATTCATTATTAAAAAAAAAAAAAAAAAAGTTATATTTGGGATATTTAGCAATATATTCCTGCATCATACTGCTAAAAAATAACAATACATCTGATATATGAATTGTTGAAGTATGCTCTTGCTTTATATCATTTTTCTTATCCCGACTGCTATATAATTAAGTTATGTTGAAAAAAGCCAGTGTGTTTGTGTGTGTATTTATGTGTTTGTAGTATATAGCAGGTTTCTGTTTTCAATGTTAGACATTTTCTAACTCCTCTGCGGTTCTAATTGTAAGTTGCAACAGAATAACAGAGTTTTGAATAAAGAAACCCTTTCATGAATGGCAATCTAACATGTCTCCACTCACACAAGTACTTGGTTTGATTCCTATGTAATGTCTTAGTGGAAGGGATCCTTAACAGTGATGTCTATCAAATGCAAGCATTTGAAAATGAAATCATTTTTAAGATTCCACATCATAATTTCCCCCATACTTTTTGTCTGTATTTACCTGCCTAACCTCAATCCTAGGGTTTATCCCAAGTAATCAAACATGCTACAATTGTACCAGAGCCTAAGTAGAGAAGCTAAGCATGGGTTAGTGTGACTAGAGTATCCCATATGTGTTCTGCAAGTAACTGCTAAAGAGAACAATAGAGAAAACAATGGGTTGTCTGTGTCACTGATTGCATCAGATTCTACAGGTGGCTCCTACTGTTAAAGGCTTCATTCATCATTCTGTTCTTATTTCTGTCTTAGCTGATGTTGCAAGTTGTTCTTGGGAGCTTTCTAAACAAAATATTTTAGTGGCATGCAGTATCGCAGTGTTTAAATTGTGTCTCACATGATTATAAAATGCAGCTGAAGTTGAGAAGCTTTGGGTTAAGCAATTCAATTCTCATAAGAATTCTGCATCCCTAGGCTTAGATTTCTGTGCTGACAGGTTATTGAGAACAAAGGAAAGGAAAGAGGAAGGGAGAGAAGAAGAGAGGAAAGAAGGAAGCACAAAAGGAGGATAGAAGGAAGGAAGGAAGGACAAAAGGAAGGAAGGAAAGAAGGAAGGAAGGAAGGAAGGATAGAAGGAAGGAAGGAAAGAAGGAAGGAAAGAAAGAAGGAAAGAAGAAACCAAGCAAATCACCAAGGAAGGAAGGAAGGAAGGAAGGAAGGAAGGAAGGAAGGAAGGAAGGAAGGAAGGAAAGAAGAAGGAAGAAAGGAGAAAGCTGCCCAGAAGAACAAAATAAGTACTTTTCGTTAACATTGCTGATGGCAGTATGAGCTCTTAGAGGCATTCTGAATAGCCTTTCATGCTACCCGGAGACACAAACTTCAAGGATCCTGAGCTGAACAAAGAGCTGAACAGAGAACTCAGGATGGCAGACCATTGGTCCAGTTAGAGTAGGAAATGCCTTTCTTCCTTACTTGGACTTAATAGCCAAAGAAAAACAATACTACGAGTGGGCAGTTGATGATCAGCTAAATAAAAATTAAGTGGTACTCTTTTCCTAGGAGTCTCTGTCCAGGCAATTAAATGTGAATCTTTAATGATCTCTTTACAATGGAGACAGGTGTTCAGAGGGAAGTTGGCTAAAGCAAACTAATACTGTAATAGTTCTTATTCAGGTAAAATAAAGAAG